CATTTTCTAATATAATTGATATTAATTTTTAAAATAGCATATTAATACTTTCATAAATAATTAACTCTTAACAAACTTGTTATCTTTGATATGATATTTAATATTTAACATATCGAATGTTAAAATAATTGGCTGGACATATATATAAGAGTTAAATATTTATTACAGAATTTCTCAAACTAGTATGCATTTTTTTATATTATTTTATATCAAAAGATGAGACTGCATGTAAAATATATTAGTTAAATAATTAAATTTAAAACAAATGCTATTATAAGGTATTTGAAGCATAAGACTGCTTATTATTGCATTTTTTTCTATAACTATTCTAGCCGAAAAGAAATTTTATAAATAATTCTTTATGGCATATAAAATGTACAAACTTTGTATCGATGTACAAATATAATGTTAGCTAAATATAATCATTTAATAATTATTTATGAAAAGTTAAATTGTAAAGTTTTTTTTAAATGAAATACTCGCTGTAACGAACAATCTTTTGCATAAAAATATAATATTAAATTATTTTCTTGTCTAACTGCCAAGAATGTTATTATAAAAGAAATATTATTTGTAATAAAACATTTGGTTTAAGACATATAAATTATATAAAATTTTCTTTAGTATATTAATGTAATTCATAATAATATTCGTTCTTTTTGCGTTATTAACGATTGTTATGCATACATGTATATATATATGTATATGATGATATTAAGATAATAATAATGTTATTGAACAATATATACAAACATTTCAAAAATTGTAAAAAATTCTAATCGAATTTATGTTATTCTACTTTTTACTGATATTATATTTTACATTTAATAATTCTAATAAAAAATAAAGAATAAGTAAATATATACAAAAAAAATTTTTTATTATCTTCTTAAATTCCATAAATATTATTCAATAATAATTTCCTCGATGTCGGGAGGAGTAACAAGAAGTTCCATTGTACTTTTCGATTTTTTATTGATTATAGATTCATACCATCGAATTTCGGCAGCTGCTACACATCTTTGTCTGTATAAATAATATTATATTATTATATTATGATTACAATTATTATTGCGATATTTTATTTATGTACTAACACATTAATTTGATCATTTGGTGGTTTTCGTACAGGATTCCAACCAGAAATTGGCTTTTCATTGGTTACCATTATGCCTCGGACGCAAAAAGATAAAGCAATTTTAGTTAAATTAGAATCCTGAAAATTTCAATATCTTTAAAATTTAAATATTTATAATTTGATATTTTTATAAAAATATTTTTACAATAATAATAAATTAATTAATTATATATAAAACAAAATATATAAAATTTGATATATAAATATTATATACATATTATGTATATAATATATAAGTAATTTAATATATAATCAAAATAAACATACTCGCCATTCAGAATTTAAAATATTTGCTAAACTTAAAATATTTGTGCAAATATTCACTTTCTCTATGTCTCCCATAGTATTTAAATAATTTTCTTGTAAAAAATTTAAAAATACTGTTGCTTGTGATTGAAAGAAAGCTATTATTTCATCCGGATCATGTACAAATTTCCAATTGTTTTCAGTTTGAATTCCTATAAAATTCATGTAAAATTAATTTTTGAATAAATAAAAAATATATATTTTTACATACTTTTTGGATTAATTACTCGTCCAACACCATGGAGAAGTCCTAAAGTTTCTTCTCGTATATTACACTTATTTTCTTGTTCTTCAGGTACTAATGAAAAATAATAAAGCATCATTTGACAATTAAATACATTATTCTAATTTATTATGTGTACCTTTTAATGAAATAAAAATGAGATTTAATAATGCATTTCTAATATCTCCTACATTATTTGATAATATTTCATCAACTTTATGTTGTGAGACATGTAACATATGTCCAGCAATTGAATTTAAAATATTAGCTGTTCTTTTTAATGCATTTTTCATTGCAGCTTGTGTAACAGAATTTATACTAAAATAAATGATATTTCTATGTTAAATATTTAATAAAAAACAAAAAATTATGCATATATAATTAGATCTTATAACTTACTTAATCATATCAATACCAAATTTTTCCCTTATATTGGTAGAAAATAATATTTGCAACAATTTTGAATTTCCTGCTTCTGTGCATACAAAAACAATAGGTTCTTTTCCAATCTCAAAATATCTTCTAAAAATTAATACATACATATATATATATATATGTATATATATATATATATATACATATTTATAATAATTTTAATAAAGATTATCAGAAAAGTAAAAAAAAATTTTTCTTACCCTAAAAGAGAAAAAAAACTTTCTTTATCATCATAAAAAACATTTGGAAAATCTTTTACAAGAAGTAAACGACTAGAACAATTATTCAGAATTGAATTATATCGAGTAGCTCTAATTAAAAACTCTTCAAATTTGTCTCCTTGTTTCATTATTCTATCTGAATATCAGTTAATAGTTACTTCATTATTTTACAATTGAATATTATTAATCTACAAACATATTCAATTTGCTAAATTCAATTTAAAAAAAAGAAATTACTATTTTCATCCATAATTTGATCAATAGGAGTAATCCATTCTGTTAGATTAAAATCATTTTCTTTTGCAAGAACCCTTATTGCTGCTGTTTTCCCACAACCAGATGGACCAGATAAAACTAAAATAGCTGGTTTGCCCTTTTTTACTTTATATTGTAACCAATCTAAAATTTCTTGTCTCTTTTGTCTACTAACTACTAATTCAGTAGAACGTTGTGGTTCACAAGCTTCTAACAATGCAGACAAATTTTTAGTATTTTTTTTTTTCAGAATTATATTATAATCACTTGGTACTTGAGAAACATTAGTTTCTAATTCTTCTGAAATGATACATTTAGTTGGTGTTTTTTTAATAGATTCACAATCAAATGATGGCAATAACCAACTATTATTTTTCTGCAAAATAAACAAAAATATATAAATTATTATATTGATGACATATAACATAGATAAATTTAAGAAAATTAATTTATTTATATATTTTTATCTATTTAAATTGTATATTAAAAATAAATTAATTATTATAAATTTTATGAAGACATACCTTTGAACTTGTCATATTGTATTAAATATATAAATTTTTTACAAATAAATAATAAAATACGTTATCACAGGAAGTAATGTTTTAATAATACATATTTATTAAAAATATTTAATAGTGAATTAAAGATTTTTAACGATTCAAAAATTTATAAATAAGTTAAGTAAAGAAGACAATAAAATTAATCAGATATCAAAACGTCTCTTAAGTATATAAATTTTAACAAGTACTTTGTTTAGATATTCGGATGTGAGAAAAGAGAAGTAAGAAAATCAAATGAAAGAACAGAAATAGGATAAAAATTTGGAAATCAGCGCCATCTCTAAAGTGCTGCAGATAAACCATAATATAAATAAAAAAAATGAATTGACTATCAGTGCTATCTCTTGCACATCAAAAATATCTTAAAGATATGATAAGATAGAGTAAGAATTAAAGATCAACCTGTTTAAAAAATAATTCTTAAAAACAAATGTTTTTGGCATCAAAGAAATAATATTGATGATCAATTTTTATTCTTTTTCTTACTATTTTTTGTAATTCATTTGCAACACTCTGATATATTTTATTACGACTGTTATTTTTTAAATTTTGAATTTTTATAATTCATTTTTTTATAATTTTTTTAATTCTATAAGTATTTTAGCCTTAACTTTCGTAATATTTATTTTTTACTTAATAAAAAATATTATTTTTTTTTATAAATAATTTTTTTTATATTAGAAATTTAGAAATATATAAAGACTATGATATGAAATATCTCATTAGTTTTTTATAATATTAAAAAATGTTTTAAATAAAAGTTGAATAGTTTCAAAAAAAATATATTCTGATATAATTTCTTCATAAATGGATGTATAAAGAATTTATAAAAATAAAAATTGTTTTTTAAATAAAAACATGTTTTTTAATTCATGAATGTGATATATCTTTCTATTATTTTTTATAAAAAAATATTTAAGTATGTCAAAAAATTATTAGTTTTTAGTAATAATTACATATTTATAAAACTATTTTCTTATAAAGAATAATATGCTATAATTATTTATATATTAAAAAATATATGATTTTATTTAAAAAA